CTAACTGTCTTGCCCAACACCAAATTGTGCTTTTAAACAGAAACATCATTTTTGATATATCACTGAATCATTGGAAGACATGAGTGAATACAGTGTTACTGCACTTGAATCTAGTGTTTAGCAGTGGTGGGCCAGCAAAGCCTCCTCTGCTGGCCTAGACAGAATCAATAAGTTATAGCTATTTTATAATTTAATAATTTTTCATAAAAACACTACATGTATTGTAATTTTTTTTCCCCATTAGCTTATTTTCTCATTGCACAACTGTCTTCCTTAGTTGCTCTGCTTCCAGCCTGCAGCATTGCTTTCAGTGCAGCTTGTTTTAAGTAGAGCTATTATCCAATCAGATTTCGCCCCTATGTTGTCTCTAGGTTAAAACAATCTGCCCGGAGGCCTTCAGAATTACAAGTGAATCCCTTTGCAGTTTAAGTGAATGGGGACGATATTGTTGAGTGTCATAGTTTTCAACCAATCAGATTTTTAGTTTGACATGTTGGGCGTATTCTTTAACATGCCAGAGCCTGCTAGCTGGCCTAGCCATACGTAATTGGTCAGTGGGCTAGCGTGACATGTTAGGCGGTGACAATCCCAATATCAACTGCCTCTGTCGAGCGGACATTTTCAGCCCTCAAACGCATTAAGACGTATTCAAGAAATACAACTGGGGAGGCTCGACTGTCATCACTGGCATCGATGAATCGAGAAGGACTTCTTACTGGAACTAAAATGCACGGATGTAACGTTACTGAACAACCGTGTCATTGAACTCTTTATTAACAAAGAAAGGAGGATGGACTTTGTCTTTAAATAGTGAACAGTGTTGTGTCAGAAACACTACCATTAGGTTGTGGCTGAAATGAAGAGAAGAGACGCAGTTCTTGGAGTAGCAACCAGCGGGAAGTGTTTAATGAGCACACGGCAACATCCAACAAGTCCAATGTATTACTTTTTACAGCTTACACTTGTAGTCTAAATTCACCCCCCTCAGGTCACTTTCCACCAAACAAATGCGTCAATTGAACCACAAACCCAGCACCTCTGGTTACCAAATATGGTATCTTATATAATATGTAATTTGGTCATATGTTTCATCTTCATCGGGGAAACAATAACAGAACATCTTGGCAGGACATTCGGCTCTTTAGATGGGAAGTGTTTCTAGTACTCGGCCAAAATTCCTGACGCCATCATCCTTCCTTCTAGGAATGCTGGCTTCCATACTTCTAAGAACTATCTGTTGAACTGTGTTGAAATATCTGTTATAAAACCTGTTTTCAGTATAGTTATATGTTTTTCTTCAAGAACAGAAGCTTTGGTAAGTGAACTGCTTTTGTTTTTACATCTGCAGTAGCTTTAATATGCTTGTTTATATATTATTATTTGTACAACTTGTTTTTATGAATATGGATTTTTGTTTGGTTTTATATGTGATAGGAACTATTGTTACGTCCAATGTTGCACTGGGGACACATTTAGTCGGTGCACAGCAGCAAGAAGACACGTGAAGCGGCAGAAGTCTATGTACTCCGCGCAAAGTGTTAAAGTCAAGGTGTTAAAGTGAAGTTAAAGTGTTTAAGTCATCATCTTTGAAGATTCATGTGTTTTCAAGTGGACTCATTTTCCCTCTCGGTGTTGACAGACGAATAAATCCCCCAGTAACAAGAACTAAGGTGTGGTATATTTCCTGGAAGGAGTGATAGGAGCGTTACTACTGTGTTAATTTGTCTATGGTGTGGTTAATATTGTTCCCTCTGATGGGAATACTATTTGAATGGCTCGTGCTCTTTAGTGTGTGGAGGAATGCGTGTTTTAGCTCCCCCGTTTTGCGAATTGATTTTGACGATATGCATTGTCCCGTCATGCGCGTATTCATGTATCTGCACTGCAGTTAGTGTATTTGTAGGTGTTGAGCCTCATTTTTACACGAAACAAATAGTCATAATGAGGTTATTAGGAGGTGGTTCAACTGTAGTAGGACAGCAGTGAAGGCCCAGGTATAAATTGCACGCCCCGCCACTGGTTTTTAGGATTCATGTGAACTATTTTTAACTCTAAAGGAGAACATTTTGTTAATATAAAATGATCTTTCTCTCACATAATCCTCCTCCCTGTTAATTTTGGCTAATTAGCGGATCTGTCGTTGTTCAAGTGAAGGAAGAGCGAATTCTTAGTGAAAATGGGTTTAGAGGAAAAGTCAGTCTTTACCCCTGACATTGACGGGCTGAAAACAAAGGAGTCATACAAAGACTGCAAACAGTTAAATATATTACACCATGGCCCCTGGTAATTCAGGATTCTGATTTGTTGAATGTTAAACAGTGACACTTATGACCCAAGTGTTATGTGCCTTGTTTACACTACACCAGCTAGACAGCTGTGAAATGGTGTTATCAGTTGTTACCAATCAAATGTGTCATGCATGTATTCATTCAGTGTGGCTTTGTAGCACAAAGGCAGTAAAACTGCCTGTGCCAAAGCGCACTGTATATAATCAATCAGGCTTAATAATGTTTATCCAGAAAGTTTGGCGCGCTTCTCCTCACACAGCGTTGCTAACACCTGCGCAAAAAATACATCAAAACGTGCGGCCTGATCGGGAATCGTGTGCTATCTATTTTCTAGAGAGATTCGCCCAGCAGTTTCCCCGAAAATCCCGAAAAACGAAGCAAATGGGAAGTGAATGGGATTTCAGATTTTATAATGGGTGTGTATTGCACGGAATGTTCAGCGCTAGAGTGAGGACATAACTGTCAGAGTGGAGCAGAGCAGGAAAATATTCTGTGATTTTTCCAAACAAATTGCTCAAGGTCCCATCATTTTTACTCTTTATACACCATTTTTGGCCAAAAAGCTTGGAAATGTTGTGTTTTTTTTCTATTAAAATGTGTACACTGCATTCTGGCCCTGCCTTGTATGAATATGTGGTTACTTGTAAGCCCAAGTGGTTACTTGTAAGTGGGTTGGGTGTAGTTATGCATGACACATTGATAATACATTTTTAAAAACATTCTTTCAGTCATTCATTGATTCATTTCCTGTTGCAATGGTAATTAAACAAGGCAATACAACCATTGTATTCTCTACATGTCTCTCACAGTGAAACACACAGAGCATGTGGTGTACCTTGAAAATACACTGCTCAAAAAAATAAAGGGAACACTTAAACAACACAATGTAACTCCAAGTCAATCGCACTTCTGGGAAATCAAACTGCCCACTTAGGAAGCAACACTGACAATCAATTTCACATGCTGTTGTGCAAATGGAAAAGACAACAGGTGGAAATTATTGGCAATTAGCAAGACAGACACCCCCAATAAAGGAGTGGTTCTGCAGGTGGTGACCACAGACCACTTCTCAGTTCCTATGATTTCTGGCTGAAGTTTTGGTCACTTTTGAATGCTGGTGGTGCTTTCACTCTAGTGGTAGCATGAGACGGAGTCTACAACCCACACAAGTGGCTCAGGTAGTGCAGCTCATCCAGGATGGCACATCAATGCGAGCTGTGGCAAGAAGGTTTGCGGTGTCTGTCAGCATAGTGTCCAGAGCATGGAGGCGCTACCAGGAGACAGGCCAGTACATCAGGAGACGTGGAGGAGGCCGTAGGAGGGCAACAACCCAGCAGCTACCTCCACCTTTGTGCAAGGAGGAACAGCAGGAGCACTGCCAGAGCCCTGCAAAATGACCTCCAGCAGGCCACAAATGTGCATGTGTCTGATCAAACGGTCAGAAACAGACTCCATGAGGGTGGTATGAGGGCCCGACGTCCACAGGTGGGGGTTGTGCTTACAGCCCAACACCGGGCAGGACGTTTGCCAGAGAACACCAAGATTGGCAACTTTGCCACTGGCGCCCTGTGCTCTTCACAGATGAAAGCAGGTTCCACTGAGCACATGTGACAGACGTGACAGAGTCTGGAGACGCCGTGGAGAACGTTCTGCTGCCTGCAACATCCTCCAGCATGACCGGTTTGGCGGTGGGTCAGTAATGGTGTGGGGTGGCATTTCTTTGGAGGGCCGCACAGCCCTCCATGTGCTCGCCAGACGTAGCCTGACTGCCATTAGGTACCGAGATGAGATCCTCAGACCCCTTGTGAGACCATATGCCGGTGCGGTTGGCCCTGGGTTCCTCCTAATGCAAGACAATGCTAGACCTCATGTGGCTGGAGTGTGTCAGCAGTTCCTGCAAGACGAAGGCATTGATGCTATGGACTGGCCCGCCCGTTCCCCAGACCTGAATCCAATTGAGCACATCTGGGACATCATGTCTCGCTCCATCCACCAACGCCACGTTGCACCACAGACTGTCCAGGAGTTGGCGGATGCTTTAGTCCAGGTCTGGGACTAGATCCCTCAGGAGACCATCCGCCACCTCATCAGGAGCATGCCCAGGCGTTGTAGGGAGGTCATACAGGCACGTGGAGGCCACACACTACTGAGCCTCATTTGGACTTGTTTTAAGGACATTACATCAAAGTTGGATCAGCCTGTAGTGTGTTTTTCCACTTCAATTTTGAGTGTGACTCCAAATCCAGACCTCCATGGGTTAATAAATTTCATTTTCATTGATAATTTTTGTGTGATTTTGTTGTCCGCACATTCAACTATGTAAAGAATAAAGTATTCAATAAGACTATTTCATTCATTCATTCAGATCTAGGATGTGTTGCTTAAGTGTATTTTTTTGAGCAGTGTACATGCTTCGTTACTACCGGCAATATCGGCGTGTATACAGTATATATATTGCGACGTCTTCGGGCAGTAGCAGCCACACTGTCAAAATTTCCTGCAGAATTTTCTATTTTTTTTATGTTATTCAACAAACAAATACTTAATTCAATAAGAACACAAATTAGTATTTTGGGATGTCATCTTGTTTTGGGACTAAATTAAATCATATTTTGTGTCTATCATTAGAAACCTAATTTAAAAACTCATTCATGTTTACTTTTTTGTTTTCCTTTCTTTTCTTTCTCTCATTCCCTTTTTTTTGATCACCAGAGAAGGATGTCGGATTGAGAACGTTCAAAAGAATATTAGATGTAGGAAATATGCCTTCAACATGTTGCAGCTGATGGCCTTTCCCAAGTGCTACCGACCACCGGAGGGGACCTACGGTAAAGTTGACTCTTGAGGACCTAAGCCACAGTCATTGTGTGTTACCCAAGTTTTAAATATGAAAGCTGGTTAAAATGTTTATTGTTTGTAACCCAAAAAACACATGGCTGTATTTTACATTTTGCTGATTTGCTTTTGGTTGGATGTGCTAATCGATTTCCAAGCTGGATTTGCCAGACATGTTATTTGTAATATGAATGCACTTTCCGTTATTGCCTTGTTTTATTTTTCATGGCCTAAGCAGTGACGAGCGTTGCAGCGGTGTAGATAATCTTTGTGTGGATGTACAGAGTGTTAATGATCTTTCTTTAGACTTTAAGCAGTTCAACCAGCATTTGTGTGCATGAATAATTCCCCTTTTGCTGAAATGATAAGTGTGTGTGTGACAACATAGTATTAGCTCAAAGGTCCACTTATTATCTTTTCTGAGCTATTTCGGAGGAGATCCATTCACTGACAGTGAGCTTAAGTTAAAAGCTTTTCTTTTTTTTTATATCCTAGTTTGGGGACCTTTTGAATCGAAGCAATAGTTTGTTGAATACACTGTTCCTAAGGTCAAGAATGAACTTACATGCTACAGTGATTTTTGTGGTAGAAATACCGCTCTCCCCAATTACTTGGAAACAAACTGTTTATAGCCTCATTCAATGTTTGGATGTTCTGAGTTTTACTATATGATGAAACTACAAGATTTTTGCAGTTCTTGAGCAATTGTTATCTACTTTTTGATGTGATCACATATTTAGGTCCAAACATTGCCTGTATTGTTTTGGACTGATGCAGATATATTTTCCATTAATTTGTAATAAGTAACATACCAGTATTTTAAAGCATATGTTAAATCCTGTTTCCTAACTCATCTTATTGAGCTTTTTCCATAATATTTTTCATATCTCAAGGTACAGGCCATAATGAGGATATTGGACCAGCGTTTCTGAATGCGATATATCAAATTCAATTATTTATTTTTGTATTCTAAAATGATTTTATACTTTAAGGGTTAATACCTTGGACTTTAATGCATGTTTGTTGTGTTAAACATTGGACCTTTACAATTGTTTATTGTAATAAAATGAAATAAAAGGGATTGATGTGGATATGTGTGATTGTATAACATACTGTTTACATTTAATATCATTTATTTATATAAGTGCGTTTAATGGAACTAAACTGCTACAAGTCATAAGTGCAGTCTACACAAGTCATAATTTAAATCATGTGTTGTGCAACTGTGTGCATTAAAAACATTCCCAACTTGCAAGATACATTCAAGTAATCCACTCAAATAGATGAGGATTATATCATCTTTGGCAAGATAAAATATAGATTATTTACACAATTTTGTATCTGAAATTAAAACACTTGAATTCCAAACACTTAATTGAACAATCCACCAAATATTCAAATTTTGAGTATCAACTACCTACCGCCTGTAGTCTTGAAAAGGTGGCTTGCTCTTTCGACAGCAGCTGTAGTCAGCTGCAATTCACAGCAATAACTTTGTATTCCAATGGTTACGCAGGGTCACGGCAAAAAAACTAAAGAAAACGTGTCAAACCATTCCTGAAGCATAACTCAGTCTCTGCCCTGCAGCTGTATGATCAGTATGTTCCAAAAATCCTCCCTTTGACTTGAATCTTTCACCTTTCAGCAGATTTCTGGGATCAAGGTTTGCAATCTATCTCTGGAATGATGACTGTCTTTGCCAAATTCCTCAATCAGTTGTTCATACAAATTAACAACTTCTCATCCATGCTGGACATGTTTCATCAGCAACCGCCAAATTGAGACCTGAGCCTGACCCCAGACCAGAGGCTATTTCTGTACTTCATCAATTACTGACTGTTGGCTCACCAGGTTAACGCAATGCAGAACTTTAGAACAAAGAGCTCAAATACTGATTTTAATTTGTTCATATCATCTATCATCATTTTCTTGGCTTTTTATACTTAAAGGTAACCTGTGGATTTTTGTTTTTTACCTCTCGTGCATTAGGGCTTGCATTTTCTCACATCTTGACATCTGCTTTCGGCTATTCTGCTAAACAACAGTTGGTAACGGAAATGCACTGACAAACATAGCAATGTGCCAACAAAAAGAGTTAGTAAGAAGAATACTAGCAAATGAACACTTATGTAACCAATGCAAAAATACATTTTTTAAGTGTTTTATCAGGAAGGAAATGCACTCAGCATGTTTGCTAGACCTCAAGGATAAAAACAATGCACTTTGGTGAGTGCATTCAGACCAACTTTAGCTTTGCATGGCTCCCTTAATCTTTTGAATGAGGCCAGTTTGTCAATGCAGGGGGCTTCTGGGTCGCCCAACGCTGCATCATCCGGCATGCTGCTCCGTTGGCCAATAAATACATCCAAGCATAGACTCCTGATAGATTACTTTGTAACATGAACATGAACATGTGGTTTGGTGTCTGATAGGTCTTTAAACTCTGAACAGGCCTTTCTGGATCATAGTTCATGTCTCAACAGTATCTGATGCAACATGCCCGCACCAACACAGACGCACGCTTGCATTGATTTTATGCAAAGCTGTTTTCAGTCTGAATGCCCACAAACATGAAATATAAACAAGACTGTTTCTACAAAACAAACTCTATAAAGCACATTTAACAATCACTTGAGATAAAAACAAAAAAGGCTAAAATATATAGAATGAAAGACTTTATAGTTGTGGTATTATTTACTGGATTGAGCAACAATTCTGAAGATACTTGAGTTCATTAGGCATACACTGTATAATAGGTGTCACATTCAGTAGTGCTTAGCAGTGAGCTTAATAATATTATACATTCTGTATACAGTACATGTTGCTACTTCCTGTTACTTCTCTCAAAACTGTACTAAAGGCAAGATACACAGTGACGGAGACTTCATGTGCAGTTATAAACAATCAATGGCTTAAGATACTGTTCTGTCATCCATTTCCAACTTATATTCTAAAATACAGGACGGCATGCTTTGTCACACTTAGTTACAAGTTTGATATTTACAAAATATAAACAGCCACAATTCTTTACAAATATTTACAAATACACATTAGTAGCTTATACTGTATTTCTGTACTACTGTATTATTGTCGAACTAATCATTTCTTGCAAAAGGCTATTGAATCTTCCCATGAATACTGTAATATTTTTAAGTGTGTATGCTTCACATGGTGGACAGTCAACCTAAAATTCAAAAGAGACAAAACGTATATTTAAACATAAATACCGTTTATATTTTAAAAGTGAAAATATAAATAAATGCTAATATGGCACAGAGGTTTTGTGTAATGTCATGTGTGGTGGTCAAAAATAAAAATGTATGCAAAATGTTTCCACATAACTACTGATTGCAGAATCCAGCTTCATCGGTGGTTATGCGAGAGTGACGTGTAGTTAAAAAAGTAAGGACAGACCCTCCAAGGGGGATTTTGTTAACAGGACTTACAGGGTAAGCTGCAGGCTGCTTGTCCAATGGAGGCAGGTCTTCATTAAAATCTAGGATGCAATGTGTTTCAGCATCCTGAATTTCTTCTTCAATGATGACCATCACCAACTCCATCAAGTAACATTTGAGTGACATTCTTTTACAGTTTTCCTTGTAAAAAGAGAAATGAACAATAATTCACATATTTTTGTAGCTGTGTCCGGCCTTTTGTGCACATTACACAGATAATAACAGCACTAAGGCAGAAACTTGATCAAGCTCACAAATAAAGCTATAACATGAATTCTGTTTTAAGTTTATTCTTTTTAATACTGCCACTGCTTTCCTAGCTAGACAATCATTGTGCTGCACAATAAATAGAATATGTATCTGTAAACGGATGTCATTGTGGTGTTCTGAAAGGAGACAGTTGGCAATATTCTATTAACAAATCCCATGAAAAGGCCAAAACTAACCACGCCTCAGTCTGAGTACTTTCTGACTTCCTCGCCCTATGCTGCTTAGCCCATTTATTCCTACTGCAGATGTAAAACTTGAAAAATTATCACAAATATATATTTTAATTTTCAAACAAGATTAAGGCTCTACAGCCATGCTCGCAGCTCTGTGAGGTTGTACTTAAGCACAGTGGTGCTTTGTGCTAAATGCTAACACCAGCATGCTAACATGCTGATATTTAGCAGGCATAATATTTTCTATGTTCACCATCTGAGTTTGGTGTCTAAGCATGTGATAATTGGCTAATTAGCACTATATAGACTAATAATTTCCTAAAACAGCTGGGCCCTGTAGTTTTCAGCAAACTCAAATATGAGTAAATGGAGCATTTGTTGTTTCAACTATGGATTGATACACATTTGATGCACTAGTGAGTATGTTTACTCAATAAACTACTGTGACCACGTTCGTTGCAATGACATAAAATGTCACCCAGTGCAACAATGTGCCTCACTGACGTTTACACACAGACAATACATGTTAGTAGGAAACGTTCATAGATGGTTTTGGTCCTTTTCAAAGGGTTGGTTGACAATAGGATAACAATATTGACTCAAATATGCAGACATGTCCTCTAATCTTTTCATCTTTCTTCAAACTAAAATCAGAACACAAAAATATAGCCTACTTTTACTACTTACTTTAATGTCATTATTTGACGGAGCATACAGCATCGCTTCAGATCTCTATAAAAAGGGGTAAGAAAAAAAACAGCAATGATATAATTAATATTTTTAAATATGAAACAAAAAACAAACCAGTACATGTGTAAAAAGGATACAGAACAGTATCAGAGAACATACAAATATGATGATTTCTACATCTGGTACAAAACAAATGCTTTCATCATCAGTGGTAAAACACAAACATTGACAAAATTGAATAGTATTTGATACCTTCTCTCACCTCAATGGCATTTTTCAGTTTATCCAAGCCTTTCAAGCACATCTGTAGATTTACGGTTGTATTATAAGGAGCAGCACACGTAGATGTACTCAGGAGACTTTAAGAGAATGAAGAGACACTAATTACAATATATTAATTTCAATAATGTGGTGTCTTTTTGTTCTTTTGAGTTTTTACATAAAAGCTGGCACTTCAAAATAATGCAAGTAGATGTCATTTTTTTTCTTTCTGAGGAAACTTTCCCAGTATTACCAAGCCATGTATACCTGTATGGGTACGCAACATCAAGTTATACAAGAGCAAAGAAAATGACTACATTTCATGCACATAACATTTCCATTTCCTATCATATAATCATAAAAATAATCCTTTGTTATTAATATTTACCCAGAATATCTGACTTAATTTGTGTTGTATTTGTTAGTGTGTTTTTTCCATCTTCATTACTGATTATAGAAATATTTCCTCTGTCATTTGTATGTATGGTAAGTATGACAACCAATAATTTAGAGAAACAAGTCACACACTGTATGCCTACCTCAGAACTAAGAAACAAAGCCAGACCTGAGTTTTGTGACTCTCTCGGCACAGGTGACAGGTCGACCGGTACTGGACACCTTTCTGGAAATAACACATAGAAATACAGTTTGATTGAATCTGTTATGAGAAGAGTAAGGCCAATTTCACCTTAATGCTACATTTAAGAACTTGGATTTGACAGTTATCGATATGATAAAAACCAAACAACAAAACTGTTGATTTTATTTAATTTAGGATTGTTTTAAGTTAACCATCCGCTGCAGTGCTACTGATATTTTCTTGGCTTTAACAGAACTTCTTAAATCACACACTGCACACATTTTTTCTCTCCTCATTATTATGAATTTGTCTTTAGGCTACAATAATTTCCTCTTTAACAAACCTTACACCATGTGCCCAATTTAGGTATTTTGTGATCTTGCAGCAATTTGCTGCCTTTTGGTCAGTCCATGTACTTTGAATTCACATCTTCATACAATTTTAATCTCTGTCATCGTTTAGCGTCTCTGTCGTCGTTTTACGAATCTTTGTGATTGCTTTGCGTCTCTTGTGTTTTTGGGCCTATACTCTTGTTGCTGTAATAAAGTCGTTTTTTGTGTATTTTTTAAAATCATTTTAATTAATTTTACTTTAACTCCACTGTATTATTTATCACACGTAGGCTATTGTACGAACCCCTTGTGGAGATTACATTGTTCACATATCCACGTTGTCTGTTTTGATGATGTTTTATTCCACTGGTGATTGTAACAGAAGTTTCAGGCATCGCTGTACATAGCTCGTTTTATTTATTGTTTTATTGAATTGTCTACATTTTGTCTCCTTGCTGGTTAATCCTTTAAGGCTACACTGATGAAGGCAGTGTGTATATTTGATAAATGACCAGTTTTAGGGTTCTTGTTGCTGATGTTGTTCCACTTGTGTATAAGTTGACATTAATGCAATGCAATGCAAAATATATTCTTTAATTTAACAGTAGTATCATATACGACCCCCCACTTTACTCTGTTTATTTATGATTACTTATTCATTACCTACTTTTTACCTTTACTTAAGGAAATGTTAAGGCAAGTACAATATTCCAGTAGTCTTTCCACGTCTGGTAATTTTGCTACTCCTGATGGAAATGTTCCATCTCTTTGTAGTTTTTTTGCATCTCTTTGCATTTGTTTGACTGACTTTCGAACAACAAATTTTAACAATCACTTCATACAGCGTCTGGTCCTGTACCCCGTATGTCTGTTCAGTGATCCATGAAACTAACAAGTCAAGTATTTATAATCTCCTGACTCTGCTTTCAGTCATGCGATAGGTATTTGGTATCAGGAGGCGGGACCAGATTTTAGGAGGAGCCTTTGCCGCTACTCCCGCCCCGTCTCTGCCTAGCACAACACTGTCAAATTCAAAGCGTACAAAGATTGTTCTGAGTTCTGTTAACCATTTAAACAGGGTGAAGCTGATTGCACATTATATTTTTAATTAGCCTTTGATTTAATTAAGGCTACAAGTTTGGTGGTGTTTACGGTATAGATCAGTGTGCCTTCATGTAATTGTGTTTCCCTTCAGGTAACGTGTCTGTTTATAGTTCATGACCTTTAAGCTATTGGTTGCATTGTTGTTTTATTTTTATTCCATTTAGCCACAAAATGGACTCAAAGTTAAATTTGACTGTTGTCTCACTGAACACAAAGTATAGGTGTGCCATGCCTCCAGTAAAAAGGTGTATCCTCCTGTTTGGTTGGGTATCACATTGTGCAATACAAAATGGATTCTGTTGGGCAATGTTGGATTAAGGTTGTTGAATATTATAATGTCAGAAGGCTATGATATGTAGATCTGTAACTCACAGTTCTTTTCATCATTGATTGATGTGCTTCATTTGATTTAATTATTGCCTATATGACCCTAATGTGAAGCTGAAAAATGAAATACCACATACACAGAAGTTGTGTGACAAGTAAAGAGAACGTTAAGTCAGGGCCTTTGAAGTAATTAAAGTTAATGGTCATCTAGGTAAAGAGAACTGAGTAGAAAGAAAATGAAACCATTAAAAGTTAATTGAACGTAGTTGTTCCAAACAATCGAGACAAACTGTATTACCAAATCCTTGTTGTTTAAATGTTTTCACTGGTGGTGATGGCTTTAAAGATCTCCTCTAGTCATGTTTTAAGACATAAATACTCTGCTTGGAGTATTCATTTCTGTCTGTTGATTTTGCACAACAAAAAAAAACTTCTTCTCGCTCATTGAAAAATCCAGAATATTATTTACATTTTAAAGTGGAAGGGACTTAAAGGAGCTGTATTTCATATTCTGAACATTAATACAGCACCAAACAACTATTTGCTATGTAAAGATATAGCGGAGTAATGTCTACCTGAACAGAGAATGAAGTCGCTCTCCCCCTGAGTTAATAATTATAATTTAATATTAAAATCTGTATAATAAATACAATATAATAATGACTAAATCCTGAAATCAGCCACCCTGCATAAGTACTGTTACTTTTGGTTCTTTAAGTACTTTTACATAAGTAGGATTTTGAAGAATAATAATAGTAAGAAATAGTTTTTATAGTGCTTTTCAAAACCAACTTTACAAAGTGCTTTTTCTAAAATAAGCAATAAAATAAAGACACTGGATTAAAACAAGCAATGCAGAAACAGACAGATATAAATCTAAAATTATACAGCGTATGAAACATAATGACATTTTGAGCATCAAAAATATAGTTTTATGTCGTGCTTTAAAGGAAGATAGTGATTTGGTAGACAGGTCACTCCAAAGCAAGGACACAATTCCCTTAGTCTTGAATCTGGACACATCTGGCAGGTTCTTGTCAAAAGACCCTCGGCTGTTGACAAGTTAGTAAGAGTAGAGTAACTCAGAAGAATAATACCTCGAGCACAAAGGTAAACAATAAAATCTTGAATTCCTCTTCTGCTCAAAAACACGTCTTGCTTATTGTCACATCACTCTTCACTGTGCAGAATGATGTTTGTATTGAGTTTGGCAGTAGAAGGCTGTTTTCATACTCATCCGATGATGGAGGAAAGTTCCTCACCTTAAATGTCAATTGAAGACGTGTCGACATGAGCATGATTGTAAGATCATAGCTGGTTTGGAAGCCAATCATGGTTCAATATGCGACTTATAGTACAACAAAGTGCGACGTTAAAGCTTGAAAGTAAACAAACGCTGAAAGTTCAGAACATATCTGGAGTGAATCTTTAAAATGCTGCTTTTGAAGCATCAATAATAATAGTCATCCAATAACAAAGTCAGTGGTGAAATGTAAAGTACATTTACTCAAGCACTGTTTTTGAGCAACAATTTTGAACTACTTGTACTAGGCCTATACTTGAGTGTTTTGTTTTTCTGCTACTTTGTACTTCTACATTTTAGAGAGATAAGATGTACTTTTTGCTCCGCTACGTTTATTTGACAGCTTTTGTTACAAATGACTCTTCACATTAAGATTGCACATGCAGAACACACAAGGAGCCAATAAAACATGATGCAGTGTTGTATTACTAAACTAATTTAAATATTACAATATTTGGGTATTAATATTCAATAATACAATGCAACATTAAGCATTCTGCATGATAAATATGTCAACAGTTGACCATTTATGTACATTGTGCTGACAATATTTCGTTAGGATTATGAATTATAGCCTTATATGCCTATAGCCTATATTATGGTACTATTGTCTTCAATTAAGTACAGCACGAGTTATTTTTTTCTACTCTCTCTGACACCGACTACTACAAAAGTTCACACATAATAAAAAGCAGGTAAAATGCCTAATGTGCGCATGCCTCCTGTTCATTCTTCCCCGCGTCTATCTGTCATGACTCTTGGAGCCATTTACAACCACCAAACAGGAGTTGCTTGTTGAGGCCTCTGCTCAAATAGAAAGTGAAACTAAACCAAATACAGTACTGGTTCGTTGTTTGGTTCCAACAAAATAACCATAATGGTGTACGGTTCACCGAAGGCACCTAAAATATATCCCGAGGACTCCACGTGGAATATCAGGTTGACACACCTCCGATCATTACGCACCAATTATTTCCTGCCGCTGTGAACTTTGCCAGTTTTCCTGTCTTCCAAAATGGAAACATGTACTTCTACTTCAAGTCCAATCTTGAAGTGTAGTTAGGCTACAGGTTGGTTACACTTCAACCACACACACACACACACACACGCGCATAATGTCAGCTCACCGCGCGCTGGTCTCCGGGGCATGTGGATTGGCCGGGGATCACCGTGAACGCCGTCATTAAGTCTGTCATCTGCGTTGTGGCAGCGGAGCAACAAGTCAAGATCACATTTTTGCATTTCACGTATTCTTATGAAGCGCTTTTGTCTCATTGGTCCATGTCAAGTGTTTTTGAGGCTTGAGGCGAGCGTTATTGCGGTCCAGATGTGGTTCCAGAGACCCGACATAAACACGCCCTGCTCGCGTTTAAGTTCACTCCCCCACCGATTCGTCATGTTACTCACTGATTTGTCAGGGCAGCTGTCAACAGGTTTATTTTTTAAATTGCACTGATTTATAGTACAGTCAGTCATGAAGACATTTGAAAATGATCACTCAAATAGTATTTTTTTTATTTTTATTTTTTATTCCATGGCATATGTAACACAAATGTGTCTCCACAAATGCAGCTGATTACAAGGATCAGGGTAAACATGACAAGGTGTTTGGATAAGCTCTGAGTCGCATTACCATAAAATGCAGATGAATTGCTCAGCAAAACAACACGTATTACACAGTAAAGACATCTTGAATATGACGTTATATTTCAGAAAAAGCATCTGTATTATTATCGATACCCAGCTTTAGTTGAGCTCTTCATGTAAGTCCCTACTGACTCCTGCATTGTGACAAGTGAACATCCGCCGAGGCTCATTATGATCTATGGGACTGTCTCGGCTCAGGCAGCCCCGTCCAGTTTAAGAGCAGCCACGGACTCAGCAGCTTTTTCCTCTTCACCTTCCTCTTCTTCTTCCTCATCTTCCTCCTCCTCATCCTCATCATCATCATCATCCTCGTCATCGTCATCATCATCTCCATAGTCATCCCGTTGGCCTCCTCCAGATGCTAGGTTCTTCCAGTAGGCGTCGTACCCTGACGCTCCGTCGTCATCATCGTCATCATCGGCACCAGCCTTGCGGCCGAACTTCAACGTGCGAGCTGCAGAAGACACAGATGTGACATTAGCTCTGGTTTCATTTACTGGGAGGGTGAAGCAACAAAAAAGTCAGGTAAGACTTTTGAGAATCGTGTTTAGGTTCATTGCAGTTTAGATGTATTTCAGTATGTATTAAGTTAAACTTAGGGTAGAGACGGTTTATGCCTCTCTTGTATTACCGTAGGATTTGAATCACAAAGCTAAGCATCTGTTTTCCTGAAAAATAACATTTACCGCAGTTTAAAGGTATTCCTAGTGTCCTGATTAAACAGGGTTTAAGCGCCATTTGATCAGATGCAGCGCTCTCATAAATTGTGTAGTATATGTGTGAATATCACAAAAACAGTAAAAGTTGAATAAAAAAGGTGAAATTAGGAAAAACAGGTGCCAAAGAATTATTTCTTTAGCACACATTGTCTCAGAGTGGACAAGCCACTCTAATCATTTTGAACATTTACGGGAAATAAAAGTGAATTTCTCAAAAATGTTCCTGTTTTCTGTTTCATTTCTGAAACGCAATGCAGCAAGGAAGTCGAGGCTGCTGCCACTTCCTTTCCTGGAGAAAAAAAACAACCAGACTCACTCGACATGCTGAGGTCTTTGGTCTCCTGGGTCTCGTGACCACACTTAGGGCAGGGCGGGGCTTTGCCTTTCTCCTGTTTGAAGACTTTACTCTTTGCGTGGTCATCACAGTAGCAGGCCTGGGAGGACACAGTTGAATTAACGTTTACATCGTTGCATAGAAATGTTGACGGCACACACATTATCTTGATGTATAGTGTAAAATGAGAATGAACTCCAATGACTGTTCAGGCTCGTTCAGACAAGTATTGTCACCCACCCCCCATCTATTTACAGCAACATATTCTTTCTCTGGCCTCAACTATAGAGCTTCTCACCTGCCCCGAGAAGGATACACTTGGGAAAGCATGTATATTTTGTTTATGTGAAAGATAAAAGTGACAACCAAGCTGCATTCTTATAAAGGCTGAATATAAATTCATTTTACAGTGTTTATGTATATGACTGATTTACAGGCTTGAAAGGAAAAGTCCATGTTAATACAACACTGTAGTCATTGGTCCTGCCCATAGTGGCCGTGGACATATCCCAGCAAAAGACCACCATCCTCATTCTGTGCAAAAATGAATGCTTCAGTTCAGTTGAAGTTATTAGGAGGCATCAACTGTGTTAACTTTTTCAAAGTAACAGCCTTTTCAGTTCAAAATTCACAATTTGTGATTCCTCAAACACTGTTTACTTGACGTAGTAGCTGTTGCGGATGTAGCAGGATAAATAGTGTAGTTGGGTTGATAACAGATCCCTCCCTGTCAGCATAACCAGGAGAAATGATTACACCCAACAATAACTTTTTAAACCTAAATATGGGCATGTGAAAACAGCTGCGTATGTCTTTTGCTACGGTGTTTCGTGTAAATGCATCGTTTCTCTTATTTGACAGCTTTAGAAAGGGGCATTGCAAATGTATCTATTAAAAGGAGCAGTGTGTAGGATTAAAGGGGATTTATTGGCAGAAATGGAATATATTATTCATTAATATATATTCATTAGCGTGTAATCACCTGAACCTAAGAATCATTGTGTTTCCGTTAGCTTAGAATGAACCCTTCATATCTACATAGGGAGTGGATCCTCTCAGAGTCTGCCAAGTTGCATTGTCATGTTTCTACAGTAGCCCAGAACGGACAAACCAAACACTGGCTCAAGAGGCCTTTCGCATGTTTATGTCACCTGAAGGCCAACGTAGGTTCTCTACGCACTTGGTAAGGGAGGGATATTCAGATGCAACCTCACTGATGCCACGTATTCCTACACACTGGTCCTTCAACTGAGCTATACCTATTTACAGTGTGTGTGTGTGTGTGTGTGTGTCTGCTGTGTGAGTGAAGGGTTTGCCTATTACTTTTGAAAGTTTTTTTTAATGTTATATCAGTAAAATTGCTTTTCCAACTAATTCTGTTCAGAGATCATGTAGTCTGGAGTCAAAAGGGTAATATTTAGTAGGAAGGTTTTGATTTAATCTTAATTTTGAATTACATATTATGCATTTCCTTTTGTGGGGCACACTCAAATTAAAAGCAAATGAAAAGGAGAATTGAATTTGACTCTGTCTTATCAGTTAGGAGGTATATGGCTTCTTTGTTGCGGAAACCAAATGTGATGTGAGCTGATAAGTTGGGTACAGTTTTACAAAAGAAATGTTAAGTGCAGCATAAGTGGCAGATAAAATAAAACAATGACCTCCCTCTAATTTGTCATGTGTAGTAAGGATAGATGTTCCCCTCACCTTACAGCGCAGGCAGGAGTGTTGACCCAGTCTATTACAAGAAACACCTAAAATGGAACGTAAGAGGAGGCAAAACAGTGTAAACAACCACCTTCCCTCTGGATATTATTTTCTGCAACGGATAAGTTACACTTGACATTGTAAAACCAAAAGACTCACACTTGTACGTTTCTGCCTGGAGGACCTGGCAGCTCGCCTGGTGCTCAAATTGATCATCCTCACACAAGAAGTTATGACAAAAGGAACAGCGGAAGATTCGCCCTCCTATTCAGGAAGTAAAACAGTACAACAGTCTCCTTCTGCGTGACACTGATGTGATCGGCGATTATGAAACACTCTGGGGCGGTGGGGGTCCTACCGTGATCCCAAACAGCGCGGTCACACTCTATGCAGTCTGCATCAGTCAGAGGACACACACAGGAATGAGTGCTCAGACATTTCCTGCCGTGGCACACCCAAGCTTCACAGAAGTCACACACTGCCCCCTTGTGGTCATGAAGAAAATCACAACAAAATAAAAGGTTAAGAGTTTGCCATGATTTATCTTTCTGATGCCATTGTAAGCATATGAATATATTGATCTCAAACAAAAAAAAGAATGTACTGCCTTTCAAGTTATTGTAGACCCCACTACCAGCTTTGTAGTTGTATTAATATGTAACTTAATTTGTACTTGCACAATACTGCAGCACAAAGTGCACAATTGAGACACTGATAGAGAGTGATAATGATCATGTACGACTGTATGGACGTTATTAAGTAAATTAGCGCTGAGTCATGTTTGCACACATTTCTCATTCCTTTGATGCTTGCTCATTGAATCCTATGCCACTGCACACCAAGTCTACCAAATCTGTATGATACTGTGTCGGACAAGTAGTTTGCTGACTCAAGCACATTTTAATATTTCTCGTAAGTAATATTTATTTCAGATTAAAGAAATTGCTACATAAAACACAGACATGTCACAATAACAACATGTGAGTAAAAGCACAATCGCAGACACTGGCCTGAATTTAAATATTCAAACACATTATTAAACACAAACAATGTTTGTTTTTGTATTTTTTAATACTACCAATAGCTAGTACTGTACCTACTCTTACATTACTGCGAGAACCTAATGTCCCCATAAGGATTGATAAGTGTGGATGGGTCAAAGCAAAAAGAGGCATTCTCGCCGAGTGATTTGATCAGTTCAGTAACTTACCACCATGGCCATTCCAGTGGTGTGGATCCCAGGATGTTTGATGACACAATCTGATGACTTCATGCACTTGGTTTTGCCTGACAACACAAGCATTAAGCATTTCATAGTTCGTTACGGTGTCACAACCTATTTCAAGATTTAAGAAACATTGCATAACAAACTGGAAGCTATAATGATGGCAAAAGCATTGCAGGATTGGAATGCACTGCTGACTGCCATCTGTCTTTTTTAGAAACCACCACTCTGGGGTGCCAAAGTAGAATATGTTCTACACACACTGCCATCAAGGTGCAGTCCCATGATTTGACACAATGCGGATCAGCTTACTTGTATTGGTAAATACTACTCAGTCAGTGAAACTTGTTGTATAATGTGCTCTGCGGCTCTGGAGGAGCTTTCTTAAGTTTGAGAAAAGATCCCCCCCTGATGTAATGTACCTGGAACTGGTGCTGCATCTGAAATCGCATACTATGCAATACATTCTCAATATGTGTACTTTTGTTCAACACACTTTGTGTGAACAAACAGCAGTATGTATCTTTTTGGATGCACTGAACTGTAATGACGACATCACTTCCTGAGAGACTCCTTGCTGGTTGGAGACACATATGCACGGTAAGATTTCACATACGTGCTATTTAGTACTTGTTAGGGTGCAGTTTGGGAAGTTGAGGATGCAGCATTTTTTTTTAAACTTGGGCCATAACTAAGGACTAAAAGTCAGGATATCACCTCTGCTTCACCAAAGTTGACCATTTTTTTATTTACAGGTCTATATTTTTCTTATTGTCCATGAAATACCACAAAAGGACCAAAACCAACAATGAACTGATCCTACTAACATGTAAGGAGCAGCCAACACTGATATACCTTCTTTATCTTAATCTTCTGTGCCATTGACTTGTTTCTCAAAAACTATTAAACATTTCAAATCAATGATATTTAAAATGATAGTACATCAAAGTACATCAAATGACATGCATGTAAACATACAAGTTGTCTGTGCAGATCACTCACCACACTGAGCGCAGATAGGCAGCTTCTGCACTGAATTACAGAAGTAGCAGAAAGCTCTGTTCTTCTGTTTTCTACCAGGTGACATTACAAGGAGGACAAATTAAAAAAAAAGGTTAACTGGTTGACCAGTGATACGTATACCTGAATAATTATAATATAATACAATATAGTCACTTACCTCTGACATTTGTCACAGTCCTACAAAAACACAAGACAATTAAGTAACAACATAACTTTAGATATGATACATTGTGTTAGCCATTATGTCTTAGCTACAGTAGCTACGTACCATGTTAAAGTTGCAGGGGTGTTTAGCCACATCAATAACATCACGATTGGCTCTGAACTGCTTCTCTCGCTCTTTACGACTTTCTGCCTTTTTCCGGGCGCCGGTTTTCTTTTTGGGCATCTCTGGTTCAAGAGGCTGGTTTCCACAAAGCTAACGGTTGGTTTAGAAGCTGGTTACCTGTAAATACGTCACATTAGTTAGCTAATGCTAAGTGATGTTACGGGGGGGACGTAACACATACTGGCTAGTTTACATGTGAGCAATTACGCTAACTCATTTGTAAGTTACTTTAAGTGTTTTATTTGACTCCTGTTATCAATAAACACAAACGGACTCTAGACCGCTCACACATGCGACCCGTTATGAGGCCAAACATGACCGATAACCAATGTAACTAGTTTATAACGTTTTAGTTAATGTTGGCTAGCTGTTGCTGCCAGCAGATAGTTATTAAACTGACACGTACAATCGCATGGTAAATAAATACAATTCCCTCTAAATATAGCCATTTGTATAACATATTTATGTTATCTAGCAGTTACTTTCATGGTCCTGAATGTTAAATGTTAATGTCACTTCAATTGTAATAGTGTGATTTGCAGTTTTTACCAAAACGATCGGCACTCCCGATCTCTTGTTGGTCCGGTCTGAAATATGTCCGGGCTGAAACATACTACCGAGTATTTGGTTCCTAGTTAATAAATAGATCAAGGTTAAATACTCAACTTTTGGTATGCTATGATATGAATAAAAAAAGATGAATCAAATATTTCATAGATCTTTAATACAAAACCCATTTCGAACTGCCATGTTTGCAGCTAAATGCATCTCACTAGTATAATGTTTTCCCCATACCTTACAATTAAATTCATTAATAAACACATTTACTGTATGTTCAGATTTCTAGAAATAATTAATTGATTTGCCTTTCATACACTAGATGTTAGTGCTGTTATTAGTACTTGGAAAAGCAATGTCGTGAGGCAAGCAGCCCCGTGAAAAGCTATTACATAGTTATTTCAAAGACATTGTAAACTATTTCACTTCAGTATACACACATCTTAGATTACTAATGTCTTTACTGGGCTCATCCCAACCTTTGTTGGTTTCAAGTGTATCCATAGAAGACTGATCCATCTTTAAGATTTCACAGATGATGCATCAAATTGTCATGCAGAATGTTTTTTTTTTCATAATAAAATAAAAGAAGACATGAATAGTCAGATGAATGGAATAACAAATAATAAGTAAATTGAATGACATAAATATCAATTTCAATTTCTTTTTTAAATTAAATTTGCAACTTCCTTTCAAAATGCCACTATTAATAACATGATAACACTGCACACGCCTATAATTAGTCCAGTGTCTCCATAGCCCGAATTTACCCAATAAGATAACATTTATATATTATAATTTATTTTTAACTCATTATGAATTTTACTTGTAATGCACAAATAAACAAAACAAAACCCCGCGGTTTCTACAGTTTTGTCACACATATTAGATCCGGGCGAAAAGACCAAATGCAATAGTAATGCAAAACCGTTCGTGACTGTAAGTGCCAGGTTCATGTGTAAGTCTTTCTTTGGCAGTGGATTACATGATTTATGACTGTTTTAGTTTCTCCACATGCCATGGGGCGTCAGAGGCACACCAGGTCACGTGCTGATGAGCGGTGAGCCAATCCTGAGCGAGGATGGGAAACAGCTGACGGTGAACAACAACTCACACACAGCGTCGCCTTTTCCTGCAGGTCGTGGTGTGTTGTGGGTTCTGCACGTAGCTCACAAACTCTTAGGATAGCTCGTCTATGATGGCTGGTGTCTGGCTCTGGCTCTCATGCAACGTTAATGTTTTTTGGTTCCTGCTGTAAGAAGAGGGACGTGGTGCGAGCTTTCTTAGTGAGGAGGAGGCCCCGGACCATCGCATCCCAAACCAGCCCGCACTATGGCTCCGTCCCTCGTCCGAGCTTGCCGCAGTCTGGCTCTCTCGACGTGGCTGCTGTCGTTTTGTTTCGTGCACTTATTGTGCCTGGACTTCACGGTTGCAGAGAAAGAGGAATGGTACACCGCTTTTGTTAACATCACCTATCTGGACCCCGTCACTTCCGAGGTCAAGACAGAGAAAACCGAGTGCGGTCGGTATGGCGAGCAGTCGCCCAAAAAAGAAGCCAGAGGTCTTGTAATGGTGCCGACCAGTCTGCAGGACAGACAGGCGTGCGACCCAAACGTTAGGTTCCCCCCAGTCCTTCAAAACACTGACTGGGTGGCGTTGGTGGCTGCGGGGAACTGTACATACCGAGAGAAGATCCGGAACGTAGCAAACTACAACGCCTCTGCAGTTGTCATATACAATGTGGGCTCCAGCAGTGCAAACGACACCATAACAATGCCCCATCCAGGTAAGAGACAACAAGTCAACATGTCTTTTATCGTAATTCCTGTGATGGAGGCATGAGGGTACAAATGTCTTCAAAATGTATCGTAGACAAAGTTTACTTTAACAACAAGGTTCACAAATAGGCTCTTCATGAATATCACAGGGGAGATTGGGATTGAAGGATGCACAGTGTACATGTACATGCCCATGACTAAGAACGCTCTAAACGTTTTCATCCTACTGTCCTTCTACCATAGTTCAGATGAGAGAAGCTCTGAGTTGATTAAAAAAAAAATGAACACGCTGATTTGAGTCTCCCTCAGTTTTCACAGTTCACTCAACACAATGAGTTTAACAAGCAGCAGCAACTCAGGGCTTCATAGTTGGTTCATATTTTTATTTACAGTAAATATTCTCATAAAAAAAAGTTTGTTGCACTACCATTATATTCTTATAATATGGTAAAAGTTTGGTATCCACTTCTGGAACCAAAACTTCCCATGCCACCATTGTAAGATGTTAAAGACAAAAATAACCACTTACAGCACATTTTTACTTGTGTTTATGAATAATGTGATGACCTCAGGAATTGATTTAATGATCCTGGAATTAATAGATTGTCAGTGTTTTGTTCATATGCTCTTCATCAGCTCATACACCTGCTGACACATGTGGCTTGGATGACAGTTTTGCTTTTTAAAGTAGATTCCCTTCATCATCATGCATCGATGCAATACCTTTATTGTATCATCTAGTTTAGTAAACTAAAGTTGGAATACACGTTTTCTTCCAAGCTTGCTAAGCAGTTATTTGTGTTTTTTACCTGTAGAGTTTAACTCTTGATCTCACCCTGAACTGATCAAACGGATTAGATTATTGAGTTTACGGCCTCCAGTAGCTGTGAGAGGAGCCCTCTGTATGAGGTATTGTTTTCACCTTGTGAGTCCTTTTGTGGCATAGTGTGGTCATGGAGACACTAGCAGGAATACTGTACCACAAAGGCAGTTTTAAGTACTCTGCCAGGTGTTTTATATTTCTATCGGTTTGTGGACAGATTGCATTGCAATACTTACCCACGACTGTGCAAGATGCAGTCATGAAACTTTACAGGCGTGTATAGTTGAGATCAAAATGAAGGCCGAGATCGGAGATGGGTGTGGTCCGAGCAAGAGCGCCAGAAGTAAGGGTTGTAGGAAGTTTTTTACTTTACGCCCCTGGCCCGATTTGGTGTCACAGCTGGTGAGATCCTATTGCAAGGTTCTCTTTAGTTTCCAATGGACATGTATTTCCATTGGAAATTGGCTGTCGAGCAGCTTGTTGCTAGTTTTAATAAAGGTGCGGCTGACCAGACCACTGAGTCCATGCCAGACAACTGCACAATGCATTAAGGCTGTTGGACAAAAAGGATCTGTGGAGAAACAGATGTTGCAACAAAAAGCACACAACACCTGACCATAATGGTCGTTAAGTTTTTAACTAAAAGGTCTCTTTGAGTGGATGTGTCTGAGGCACCTGTCATGAAAAGCAGATCATTTGAATTCAATGCAAAAAGTCTAAAGCTTTTACTCAAATTCAGAGACGTGTCTCAGGAGAAAGTAGAGAACAACCCAAAGCTAAAAAGTGAGTGAATGATGGACGTGCATTCACCAGGTGGCCAGATGCATAATTTCACATGAAATTGAAAACCAGGCTTTCCCTGCTTCGAGCCATGACGTAAATATAAACTGGGACACTTTAAGGGGCAGAAACGGCAGCCAGGAGAGGTGTGAAGACAACGCTTTTAGAGAAGGGGAATGTAACGCAGAGCACAGTGACCAAGGCACGGGTCCTAAACTCTAGATTAAATGTGAGGCTGCCGAAGAAAGAATGGAGCACTTTCCTGTCCAGAGCCAACACAGCTGGGCTGTAAAAGCCACAGTTGCCAGAGCCAGAAACCTCTCAAGGCTTGATTTTATTCAACCCTAACAGCCCCAAGGCTGAGTGGGGTCAAAGTCATGATACTGTCAGGTCAGAACCTGTCAGTTTATCTCTGAAAGAGCAGGGTTTATACTTTAAACTTTGCAGCCAGTTTCCTGTCAAAGTTGTAACAATTACAGGAAATGTGCTTATTCGCTTTCTTGACAGCAGTAGTGAATTAGCATACAGACTGGAAACAGCTCACATGGCCAAAAAACAAATGAGATTTGCTATTTTATGGGTGGCTATGTTCCAGACTATTTCTTTGCCTTAGAGCAGAAACTTCTTGGACTTGCCTAGCAACTGCTCAGCAACAATTCATAGTCTGGGACGCAGTTACCCGCAAAACCACGGCGTTTTGTTTTCACACTTGCATTTTTGTGTCGAGTAATTGTACCTTTTTTAGAGCTGCTGGTGGCTGGAATTTGTTACAGTTGGACAGAGGCAGGCTAGCGGTTTCCCCTTGTTGGCAGTCTTTATGCTAAGCTAAGCTAATCGCCTGTTGGCTTCAGCGTCATGTTCAACGTACAGATATGAGTGTTTTCAACCTTCTCATTTAACTCTCATCTAGAAAGTGAATAACCACATTTCCCAAAATGTCAAACTATTCCTTCAGTCACCAATTTAAAAAAAACAAAACTTGCATGGTCACGCCACAGTCTGCTTTGAGTCAAGAGTTCAACTGTCGGGTTGAGAATAGTACATGGTTGTTAATAAAGCATTTACCAGTTAATTCCGTGGTAATCTGTGCCTCAGTGTGATCCTCTCTGCAGCAGACCAAAAGCCTGTTAAATCAATTAAATTCCCAGCACTGAACAGGTTGGATGTCCACTGGATTAACCCATTCAGTGTCTATTCTTCTTTGCTATCACATTTTGGCAAAGTGGGTCTGAAAAAACACCGATCATTTTACAAGTTCAGCCTCAGTCACAGACATTGCACTCCTGTTTTAGAAGCAGCTATTTTTGTCTGCTCTGGCTGCGTCACAGCGAACAGAAGAAGGAGATAAGGCTTAGGGAAATCTTACATGTTATGCCTTCCCTCATTTCTGCTGGCTGTGAAGCAGAAGATGGCCATACAGGGGTATTTATTTATTTTTTTTAAAGTCTACAGAGTCTGGAAGCAACAGTTTTGGCTGTTGACATGAGATAATGTGGTTTTTCATGTAACAGTTGTTACATCACAGTGATTTGCCCTTTGCACCATATGGTCGAACTAAAACCATAAATCTGCAGATCAGGAGTGTGTGTTTCTGAGGTTACACACATGAAAACATGAAACATTCAAATGAATACCTGGTCAGGGGTTCTTGTAATAAACACATTTTAGAAACTCTAAAAATGTATTCCAACGACATGCTTACCTTGTTTACATGTCAGTGAGAAAGATAAAAGCAAAAACTTCAGTTAAGAAGTGGGACAGCTTGTGGCCTGAGAGCCTGAATACACTGCAGTGTTCAGCAGCGTGTTGCCGTCTGTTTGCTGTCCAAACACAAGCTTTTGTTTTTCTCTGTCATTGTTTGTTGCAGAGTTTGCTTTAGAGGCTGTAACATATATATATACACTCATTTTGAGGGAGCAGCCACCATAATACAGGATAAACCTTTGTGTGTGTTAACAGGGGAGATACTGCCAGCTGGATGACTGTGTGGTTCGGGATCTGGCTGTTTTTCCAGAGGATGTTAGCTACACATGAAGGGCTTTGGACCCATTTCTACCAGACCCGAGAAAAATTATTCGTTAGAGCATTTCTTTACTTTGCTTTTGCATATATCTTCTGTACTTTAAGTGTACATTTATTTAGCCAAGATTGTTAATTCTTGCATTTAAATGAAAGTACAACTGGTGATGCTTTGAGTTTTCAAACCTGGTCATATAAGATGTAGCAGCTGTGCAGATTTTACAACAGACCTGTTACATAAAGGGATTTGTGAGTATGACAGCAGTAATACATTGCTGCTACATCCTGAAAATGAAGCATATCTGTTGGATTCAAAGCCTTTAACTCCTCTGGAAAACACCAAAGGCCGTATTTTCTGTAGAGCCTCTGTGGCAGAATTACCCCAGCATATCATGTTAAAATAGCACTGTGCTGATCTCTGTTACAGTGCACGAGGATTTATCTGTGTATCTGGCAGGCTGCACAGGTGATGGCAGGTTAAACAAAGCCACTGTTTATGTGGACTTAAGCACCACAGGGAGCCACCGTGACTCCATGCAGCCGCAGTCATAAACATGCAGCAGAAGGAATATGATGTAACCGTACTCGGACTGTTAATGCAGCTCCTGGAATCATCAACCGGCCGCTGTACGGCTAAGAGAGTAGAGGCTTGTTCCCTTATTGTGACTAGAAACACAAGAGTTATGTCCCATGTAGGGTTGGGTACCGAAAAGCGGTGCCAATATGGTGTAGTGGCGGTTGGCAAACGACGAATTGGCGCATTACCGCCACCAACTGGTAAAATAAAATAGATCATGAGACGTGTCGTATTTTGCCAGAGAAGGCTCATATTTCTGCAAAAGAATTGCTGAAGTTTGAAGCTGTAGTGTGTGTTTTGTATTTATTTATATTTATTTAAGTAAACTGTTAACAGTTAATATATTGTTCATAGTTTGAAGTTAAAAAGTTTGAAGCCAAGTGTTTTGTATTTATTTATATTTATAGTATACTTTAAACAGTTAATATATTGTTCAATTTGAAGAAAAAAGTATCGGTTCAGGCACCGTTTTAGCACCGGTATCGGAAAAAACCCAAACGATACCCATCCCTAGTCCCATGGGACCTCAGATAAACACAATAGAGCCTACGAGATGCTGGATGTTTTGAGACAGGTACAGATATCGATATTTGACAGTCAATATTTGTCACATATCATAAGCCAACCTTTTAACTCTCCTACATTTCCTGTTTATCTTCACTGCAAACTGTCGAATAAAACTGCCAAACAGTAATCTTTTCCAAAAAAATTGAAAAATGAAATGTCAAACTTCAGTACAATGGTCTGATGTTATGTCTTTAAATGTCTTGTTTTGTCTGAACAACTGTCCAGAACCCAAAGATATTCAGTTTACTATCATGTTTGACAAAGAAAAGGATCAAATGTGAGAAGCTGGAACCAGCAAATGTTTGGTATTTATGTGGTAGCTACAGTATGGACCTGATTCGTCTTCTAAACATCTAAACTGGTACTTCCCTGTGATGTCTGTGTGTGCAGGTACAGGCGAAGTTGTGGCCATCATGATCCCAGAGCCTAAAGGTCGTGAGATTGCGGCCTTGCTGGAGCAGAAAATCATGGTCAAGCTGTACATCTCCATCGGAACCCGCAACCTGCAGAAATACGTGAGCAGAACGTCGGTAGTGTTTGTCTCCATCTCCTTCATCGTACTCATGATCATCTCCCTCGCCTGGCTCGTCTTCTACTACATCCAGAGGTTCCGCTACGCTAACGCACGAGACCGCAATCAGGTATGGCCTGTGTGCACTTTGTTGTAATCAAAGTATGACTATGAGCTGATGTGTTTCTGCCTGGAAGGGCTTCTGACAGTGCTGCAGTGCTGTGGTCTCAGTCTTGACATTGGCCCATGTGTTTTTCCATCTGGTTTCGGGTCTGTAAAGCTTTAAGGAGAGGCCAGAATTAGCCTGACAGCTGGCCGAACAGAGACGGGGAAAACCGGTGAACCATCAGCCAACTGGGCTCTCTGGCCCTGTGAGCAAATACTTGCCATTGCCTTCTCTTCATAATGAATGACCGCCTCTGACGTTCTTGTGACGTCTGTAATAATAATTCATCATTGTGCCTGTTATGATAGGAGCTGGTGCCGTGACAACCATTGTTTTCACTTTGAATTATGTTGATTACTGTACAGAGTTGAACAAATCTGCTCTCATTTTATTTCCAAGGCAGCTCAGTAAGGCAGCTGTTAAAGCGTGTCAATTCTCTGAATCTGCTGCCACCAGTTCCTCTAATATTCTTCTATAAATACTTTTTAATCTTTTTTTTAAATAATATACCATCATTTACTTTTATGCCAAAAAACAGGAAAACCTTTCCCTAGTTAATTCAGGTTTTTTTTTTCAGTGGTGGTGTTTTATACGCTGCACTTTATCTTACAGTAGTAGACGTCGACGCTGCTCTATTCATTTCCAATAAAACAAATGTGAAGAGATCAAATTGAGAAGTCCACAACAAAGCGACATGCGATGCTTGATTTTGCGAAATTTCTTGTAGGTGCACATGAACATGTAGGCGCGTGAGGTGTGTTGTTTTTTTGTCAGCTGATGTAGACCAGTTTGCAGTATTTAATGTATATCAACAGACCAATGCACACTGCTGAGTCACTGACTGTGGTTTTTATATCCACAGAGACGTTTGGGAGATGCTGCCAAAAAGGCCATCAGTAAGCTGCAAGTACGCACAATTAAGAAAGGAGACAAGGTAACAGTACATGTCACATAAACCTCAAAGCATCTTTGGCTATACATTGACTTTAACAGTAAGCTGTACATACATGATTATCATTGTGGACATTATTTGAATTATACAGTACTTATTTTATTTGGTATATAGATATATATCATATAAGTAGGAAAACTTGATACCCTCTTTGAAATCTCTTCTTGAAAATCATTCTTATTTCATGTCTCACAAATTGATGGTATATATTGTAATGATTCAGATAACTTTATCTTGTTTCATATCTTTTTGTTTTGGATTTTATCTGCTTTATTTATTTTTACTGTGAAACACTGTTATTTTATTGTGAAAGCTGCTATGAGTTATTAGTATTGTTATATTTGAGAATTCATTTGTCTGTCATATTCATCTATTTCATTTCTGTCTTTCTGTGTTTTAGGAGACTGAGTCAGACTTTGACAACTGTGCAGTTTGCATTGAAGGTTATAAGCCAAATGATGTTGTGAGGATTTTACCATGCAGGTAATGTGCGTGTGTGCTTGAGCCTTGTTGTACGTACCGTAACTTTAAAACTAGGTGTCTAGGCAAAAAATCATCACATGTACCATAGCTGCCGATATATACACATTTCACTCGCAGTCATTTGATTTTGAATGTTTGAATGTGTGGATGGTGTTCTTGTTTTGTCAGGCATGTCTTCCATAAGCACTGTGTGGACCCGTGGCTACAAGACCACCGGACGTGTCCCATGTGTAAAATGAACATCCTCAAAGCCTTGGGAATTGCAGTAAGGTCCTTTTTGATTTATTATGTTTTTCTCATTTTCTCTCATTCATAAAATAAATGACCACTCATAGCATTCATGAGATTGAGAGACCTTACCCATGTTCCAGCTCAACGCAGACTGTTTAGATGACGTTCCTCCCGAGTATGAGACATCTGTCGGCGGTACACACGCCAACCCTATCAGCGGGGCGAGTGAAATCACGGTTAATGAGAGCTCGGTGGTTCTGGACGCAGCCGAAGAAGCGACAGACCTACAGCAGCTCCATCCTGATGAAGAGACAGAACTTCATGCAGGAGAAAGCCAGCTCATCGCCAGGTGTAAGTCCAAACATCACACATTTGTAGCGTAGATGTAAAGCCCTGACAGTCAGTGAAATGGATTTTTGATTTATAGCTAAGATGGGAAGTTGTTACATTCTGTTTTAATTCAAAGTTACAGTAAATACAAAGTTATCCCCACATACTCAACAGTATGTCTGTCCGTCCATTTCTTTGTGTCTTTAACACAGTATTTAACACAGTGACGTCTTTAACTGTTGCCTGATTCCTGCTCTGTCCTGTGCTTGAAAATACTTTGGGACTTTTTGTCCCTCATCCCACAGAGGAAACTTTTTTTTTTTTCTTTTTTTTATCACTGTCCCGGTTCTGGTTTTATTCCCCCTTTCTCTTGACATTTGAGGGTTGAATTGTTTATTCTGAGACCTTAATCAGGCCAGCAGCCACCTGGTCAGTGTTCCCTAATTCAGATGTTCCCCTTCCAGAACAGCCTAACCCACTTACACTCAAATATTTATGTTGAAGTGTGTTGTACACTTCAGCACCTTATGGAAACGCCTGAGGCTTGTTTCTTTAACTGACGACCGTTAAACATCTGCTAGCTATCAGCAACAGTCATGCACATACACGTGTTCTTTCTGCAATTTAGCATCTGAGGCCAAAAACATTTCCACAGAACAGATGTAGCCTGATTTTTTTTAAAGTTTTGAGTCAGATATAACACCTATGCTATGGCTGGATGAAGGAATAAACAGGGAGGAGATTTTTATGTTTTATTTATTGTGTTTTATTTATTATTGGGTTAAACGGTTAAACGTTTTGTGTGGGGGGGGGTTCGTTTTTCAATGTGAAGGTCCAAGGACAGAGGATGTCGTATCCTGTAGAGATTGTAAAACCTCCTGAGGTAAATTTGTACATTTGTGATAATACATATATTGTTTTAAATAAAGTACAAAAAGAATAATAGAATAAAAAACATTCATCTGCATTTGGGCTTCGAAGATAAAAGTCAAATTTTTACACCAAATCAGTAAATCTATGTAACAATAAATACAGCAGGCCATTTATGGATCGTACTTGGATTTAATGCCACTATGTTCCGTAAATTGTACATTACTCCAGCTCTATCCAGCTTGATGTAATTACACTTCCCAGTGGTTTTACTGATGTTCTTGCAGTCAGGTTACTGTCGGCGTAGGGTTTGTAATGAAACTTTAATGTGGTTTTAAAGACCTGTAAGTGCAGATTGTAACGGTAAAGAAAACGTGAGGTGTTTGAGTAACGAGTGCCAAATCCTTCTGCTCGGCACGTTAGACTCGCTCCAACACTTCTACACTTCCAGGCACAAACATGTCCACACTTGTCTGTACCTTTTTAACTTTGTAGCATAAAGTAATAAGTAGAGCTGCAAAGATTAGTCAATTGTAAAAAAACAAAAAGTAAATCTGCAATTATTTTTGAAATTTGTCATTGGCTGACTCCAGTTTCTCAAATATAAAGATTTGTTGCTTTTATTTGTTTTTTATTGCAGTTGCAGGGTTCAGATTTAAGGCACTTTAAGCAGGAGATCAGCTCGCCACAAGCAGATGATCTCATCAAGACTAATTAGTATGTGAATCAGATATGATCTGTCGTATGTCGCACCACTATTGAGCCGACTGTGACAGTGTCACTGGTAGGCAGTTAGCAGGGGATGACACTGTCAGGATTTCTGTTGCTGTGTGTTGGCTGTGATGGAGGACCGATTGTGTTGTGTCTTTAGCCTGACTAATGAGCACTGTCCTTAATGGTATTGCAGATTATTCTTTGGGTGTGTGCTGCAATCAGATTCCTGGAAAAATACCTGATTTATCATTAAAGTGTGGGGAAAAAATGTTTAAAGGCAATGGCATTAACCCAAAGAACTCTACTTCCTTTTAAAGGACTTGACTGTACAGAGACACTGGTATAACTGCATCCCACAGCAACCTCTCAAGTAAGGAATTACCTCCCTCTCTCCCCCCTCAGGTGGGCACCAGCGTCCACCCAGCAGTGATTCAGACACCTCTATCATCATGGACGTGGACATACCTGAAGTAGACTTGTCCACGGAGCAAGAATGTGATCGGGCCAAATCCTGAGCCGATTGAAGTTGAGATAAAAAGCATGAATCACCAGGAAAAGGAGGACAAAAGCATGACGAAGTGACCGAGGGCCCCCCAGAGATTCGCCACGTCTCTGGCCCCCTGGAGAAAGTGACTTCACAGAAGAAGGGCAAATGAGCAAGACACCATAGCAGCACAAAACCCCCCCAGTTTTGTCTTCACTGAAAAACAGATTTGTCCCTGCATCTGTGGACGTGTTGCTTGTTCGTTTCCTAGCAGTCACACCTCACAATTTTATTGGTTTGACTGCTATGCTCACAAGACAGCCAATCACCGCTCTCACAATGTGGTGGCCCAGTTTTTGTAACACGTAATCTTTTCACATCCTTTAAAGGTTCTTGATACGATATTCAGAGAATTAATATAGCATCAAACATTTATTTGATATGTAAAGATACAGTGGAGTGATGTCTACCTGAGCAAAGAGTGGAGTCGCTCTTTCTCTGTGCGCGTTGTAATCCGAACTTCTCTGTTCTTTTCTGACGTTGCCAGGCCGGTCACACAGGTTTTTTTAATGCATGTGAGCGTGCCCCACTTATAAGCTCACGGCCGCTGCTCTGCACTGCTCTCACACGGCGGTTACAGCTGATAACACCGTCCTCACCAACGCTGTTACCTGTTAACTAACGCTGTTAGCTCTGTCCGCACTGTTGGTGTTCTTTGCAGAGTTAGCGCGGTTAGCCACCGGCTCAGCAAATTGCCATCTTGAGAGCCGTTTGGAGGCACTAGATATGCTCTTAATTTTGTAAACCTAGTATCTGGAATATAATAGGTTGTTTAAGGCCTAATACTGAGTTTACCATTACAAAATAATGTTTGTAAACCTGTTGCTGGACACACTATAAGCACAGAAGCGGCAGGGTATCCTTAACGTATGATTGCAGCTTTAATTGTTATTCAAGATATGTGCAGATTGTTTGATTTCTTGGTACGAGATCACTGCCAACATATTTTTACTGATGTAATGAATACATAGCATGTATAGAGCCTATATCAGCAATTTATTCTCAGTCCAATAGTTGGTGTGAATTCACCACCAGCTATGTTTCAACTTCAGACTTGGGTACACGTTATTATCCCTTGAAAACCTGAAGCGTATGTGTGGTCATGTGACATTCAAAGAGATGGAATATGTATGCACACGTTATGCTGTAATTTCTGAATTTCTAAATGTACGGTTTCTGATACTAATTTTGCGAGAACTGCATTTATAACTTATCTTTTACCAACTGAATATTCCTGTTGTTAAGAGAAAATAACCAAACACAAGGTAGATATTTCTGTCCTCACGTTTGACAATCATAGCTTGCCACAAGCAGTTTGAGGCGATGTCACCCACTGCCCTACTGATACTGCTGCTGTTTTACAAGTTATCACAACAAACTGCGCTGGTGATCACCCCCTGCTGTCTGTCAGGAGGGAAGTGTTCATATCTGTGTTCACTCTGCTGCTAAATACAGCTGGCAATGGTAGTTGTCAGTACCAAATTCTGGCATGGTGCACACACTGTAGACAAACTTCGAACACTTGTCAAACCAGTCGGTATAGATATTTAAACCAGTCTTTGTGCCAAGATTATCAGTAGTATTTTAAACATTGTTGTCTTTTCATGCACACTGATTTCCTTGGCTGTAAAACAGAATGGCCCTGAACTACAGTGAGGACGTAGAATTGGATGGTTTACGTCAATTGAAAGTGGGACTGTTTTGGTGGAAAAGGAGGGCGCTATGCATCGCCTGACAAATACCATGCATTTGGATTCCCAGTCAGGGTTTTCATTTGAGGAATTTGATGCTCCGAACCTGTATTTATATGGCATGAAAAGCTTACAGCGTGAAAATGTTTACAGTGGAATAATTGAGACGTTTTGTTTGGAATCGGTCCACACTAAGTCGGCTAATTTTGGAAACCTGCATGCACACAGCCCTCGCAAGAATCTCCAAACAAAAACACCTGAGCAACCGGAGAGCGGCTACATTACTTGGTCTTCATCCGTCAGCAAACAACAAAACTGCATCACAGCCACCGTGTGCTGAGGATGAAGGTTAGTCTGCTGATTCTCAGGTGGTTAAGGCTCCTCTTTGTCCCCTTCTACTCCCTTTGATTTAACTATAGTGTGAGATTTATAAAAACATAGATCCAGCTTAATGACAACAAGGGGATCGGCTATGTCTACATTTAAAATGGGTTCCTGGTAGTAACAAACCTACTGAAAATTATTACCAGAATCTGCAGGAAAACGCCAGCTTAGTGTGGACGGAGGACCAAAACAAAGAAATAAAGGTGTACTTTTTGCTTGTACTGTTAGCCTCCTGCAGTGATGCATACTGTTAATTAACGTTCATCACCTTTAACAGTTTTTGATAGACTTCATTCTTCTACTTTTGTTTGTCTGTCGTCGTCCTGCCAATCACCTCCTTAATACTTTTTCAGTAATGTCATATTGAAGAAGATCAGTACGATCTAATAGTTGATTTGATACATTTTCACTCACATTCCTGTCGACTTACACACTAAAGAAGCACAGACTCCACTGACTGAGTCCATGGAGCCATTGGAATTTAACTGACTGGTTTTCTCTTCCAGTCATTGTTTCCATTATGTCGTGCCGCCAGGCACTCCACCAAGGAATCTGTTATATAATGCACACATGTCCACACTCCTCGGTCTGGGTCGATCATTGAAGGATTATTGAATGTATGGGCAAATGTTTGTGTTCCATCAAAGCGTTGGTTTCAGGAGGGGTACTTTATAATTCTTTATTTCTCCAAGCATTTTATAAGAATGTATGTTCTTAGCTGTAGCAGCTTGATACCCAGAGACACTACTTTCTAGATAACACTAAAGTAAGAAGTTAGAATATTTAGTTTAACTGTGAAATACTGCCTGCAGTTGTACGCATTCATGAATGTACATTTCCATTCACTATCTATTAGACAGTGCTGTCTATTTGATAAAAAGCCCGGTTTACATGTAGGTATACATCTATTGCGTTGTGGATATGAAGGTGGAGGATGATTGTCATTCTTGCCAGCACATCAGAGATACAGACGTTTAAGTCTCAGCTAGCCTAATGAGACGGCACAATACATAAGATAATAACCCAGAAACATCGACATCTGTTGCTTTCCTTGTCTTTCTGTCAACACTTTGAATTTCTTCTGTCGTCTTGTCTCATACTCTCACACACACACACACACACACAAAACAAACACTCTGTCTCCATCTGACTGTTTGTTTGGTCGTCGTCATGGCGGCAAGATAAAGCAAAGCTCATCCATTTTTCTGGCTGCACTGCCTAACAGAGCGAGTTTGTCTAAACCATCTTTTTACAGAGAAACTTAAAGATTATATGACTAAGATATAAGGTCTTCTCTCAGTTTTGTGTGTTTACAGTGTTTCAATAACAACTCTCTTGTAGGAATAAATATAGAATCCGAAGGAACACTAAAGACCTTGGTGTACTCCACGTATTGTACCGGCAACATTGAGTAGCACATTATTTTATGTGTCCGCAATTCCCTAATAATTGGCAGTTAATCAAAGCTATCATATATTTCATTTTGTTTTTTTGTCACGTGTTCTTTTGTTTGTGTAAATTTTCCTATATTGCAGTTTAACCTTCCAGTGAATGAGGCTTGAGGAAGACTATTTTTAATGTTCAGCTTTTGAGAAAGGGGGATACAGTATTGAACATGGCACATGACTCAGTTGTTGCTTATTGTTTACTGTTGTGATCTTTTATCTGTACTATTGTGCGTATGTGGGGTGTGGGGGAGTATCAATATATTGTACACTATACCCAGCAGAAATAACAGCATTGCTATTTTGTAATATAAAAGAATTGTAAGTATGATTAGCGGTGTCTGTCCTTTTCTTGTACCATGATGCACATGTAGGAATGTCTGATTGTGAGTTATAATAAATTGAATCAGGTTGTTTTTTTTTTTTTTCAACTTTGATAAACTTGTTTGTTTTACAGTAAATCTATAAAAAAATATTTTGCTAAATAAGGAGAGCAGTTCATAAACACTATCTGAACTTGTGATGTTTGAGAGCAACTGGTTGCACTAAAGTCAAGGAAAGCAGACTACAGCCATCTATTGTAGTCTGGAAAAAGAAAACAATGTTCCTGCTGAGCTGAGCTCTGACAACATGCTGCATACAAGCTGAGCCACCAAATACTACTCTGATGTTCTATATTTCAGAAGATTTGATGTCAGAACTTGGTTCTTTTTAAGGTTCCTAGGAGCACTTTTTTGAATGGAAAGAATATGAGGTGTTTCCTGACCGTGAGGAGGACAAACTCCAATAAATACAGGTTTATGATGAAATAAATGAACCTGTCAGTTTTTCCTCAATGAGCTACCACGAGGTAGCGCCATCCATTCTTTATCTTAAAACCCATATGTTCCTAAAGTTTAACCAGTGGTGGGCCGTCAGGGCCTGCAAGGCCTTCTCTGCTGGCCTAAACAGAATCACAAAGTCATAGCTATTTTATAATTTAATAATTTTTCTTAAATACACTACATGTATTATAATTTATAAAAATATTTTTCCATTATCTTCTTTTCTCATTGCACAGCTACTGTCTTCCTCTGCTGCTCTGCTTCCACTGCAGCTTGTTTTAAGTAGAGCTTTTATCCAATCAGATTTCACCTCTGTGTCTCTCGGTAAGAAGAGAGGCCCGAGGCCTGCAGACTCTCAAGTGAATCCATGTGCAGTTTAAGTGAATGGGGACGATATTGTTGATTGTCAGTCTTCAACAAATCAGTTCTTTAGTTTGACATTTAGGGCGTATTCTTTGACGTGCCAGTGCTACCCAGGTACCTGCTAAGTACGTCAGCATTAACGTGCGCCGTGATTGGTCAGTGGGCCAGCGCGTGACTAATGTGAAATTTAAGGAAGCTGGCAGAAGTTAGTTGGAGTAGTAAGAGTTAAAATTGCAAGATATGGAAGAAATTATAAAATGTTTAGGGTTTTGCTTGGTGTAGTTTATTTATTTTTATCAACGGTGTTTCTGGCTGACAGCGTCGCACATTTTATGGCTGGGAATGTGTTTCATTTTAACTGAGCATCTTGGTGTTTGGAGCTACACTACGCTAACCTCAGGACGCCACAGCACGGAAGGACACTACGGTGCTTTTGAAAACTTTTGGAGAAACCCGAGTGGATCTACAGATCAACGAACACGTTCGCAGGGAAACGGAGCTCCACAACTGCGGTCTGCGGGCTGGCGGGGGCGGCGGCCAGCGGAGGGGGGATCCCGGCCCCGCTGCGAACCGGCCGCCGCAGACCGGCAAAATACAACTGGGGAGGCTGTCTTTAAACTCACCTACTTTCACCTAAAGTAGCTGCAGGGCGATACTCATTTTCGCCAATAGGTGGCAGTAGCAGGTTTTGGTATGACTGGCGCTGTAATTGTTGTCTGAAATGAGCGAGCTAGACCAGAAAGGACAATCGAGATCACAGAAGCAGATATTCATCTGAGACTGTCTTGTTGTATTCACAGGTGAGAGAAGTACATAAGTACATAAGCGCCATATTTATATTATGTTTGCTCACTTTTGCGGTGCCATGTTTTGATGTTTATGAAGTGTTTAATACTGAAATGTAGGGCGGCTAACTAAGGCTAGCATCATTAGCTAAACAAGGCTATTCACGCGCTAGTGGTTTAGCGCCATTGTAACGTCAGTAACCTGGCCTGATAATTGTATTGTTCCCATGTAAGGTTATATACAGATAAATGGTGTGTCCTGTGACAGATATAAGCAGTAGTTTGTTAGACTGTATATTTCAGGTTGTGTGTTCACAATTCATGTAATTCTTGTTTAAGATAAGGGAGCTGGACCAAAAAGGATAGTCGAGATCACAGAAGCAGATAGTCATCTGAAACTGTCTTGTATTCACAGCACAATAAATTCATCTGGAAAACTGAATGGACATCATCATCATCATTCAGTGTGTAACATTTGCACAAAACCAAAGCAAGATAAACTGTTTGTAAAAACTCTTTCAGAACGTTGACGTAAATTGGCATTACCTATATCGTGGATCTGGCGATCCGAACACAAAATGATGGTGGGACCTGATTTTAAAAGGGAGCACAGTTTGAAGACCACGAGATGACCAGCTTTGTAAAGTCAGGTAGGTCCAAAGTCACCTACCTTCACTCACCTCATCTGAGGATTAGTAGTCATGCACATATAACCACCTGAACCTGTGTAAAGTTAGTATGTGTTTGTTTGTATGGAGGCGTGGGTTCAAATCTCACTTCTGACCGCCAGTGATTTTAATTCACTGCCGCTGTTATTCTATAAGCTGCCTCTGAACAGCAGATCAACCACTATACTAATTGATTCACAATTTTATGTATATATATATATATATATACACACAGTATATGATACCTAAGTTTTTAAATGTACGTATGTAAACACATATAAATAAACACAGTAATAAATAAATACATGAAATATACAAATAAATAAATAGATACAAGGATCTGACTTTTTCCATCCTTATACCGATAATGAAACCTGGGTTTTGTGTATCGGCCGATACCGAGTACCGATCTGATACCAGTGTTATTAATTAACTGTATGCCTCACTGTGTGGAAGTTCCTATGATCATTATTTTATGTCTAAGGCAAAATCAGGCTTGACTTAAACATTGCTTTCCTAACTTTGAAAAACAAAATGAGACAAATGAATACATCGATAGAAATGTACTGAATTGTTATTTATTTAAATATTGGTATCTAATACCGGATCTGCATGTCGTCACCGATAGCTGATTCGGCTATTTGAGTCAGTTTTGGACTGATATCAGAAATATGTTTCGGTATCGATGCATCTGAATAAATAAATAATATTAACGATAATTAATACTATACAAGTGTTGGCGCTCTGTGCAGCAGCGTGGGCGGGGGTTCAGGTCTCAGTTCATGATGTCATCAGCGGGTCTTTACAGCCCTCTGCTCACTTCTGCTGCTGGATGCTGGATATATTAACCTTTCTAATGCATTTCCTTGCCATAAAACCTTGAATTGCAGCTGTTTTTGAAAGGTGCTGTAACATTAGATGAACCTTCTTGCCTTAAGTTCTCAAGCCACTTTAGACTTGTACTAAACCAGCAAAATGTTGCAGAAAGTAATGTTCAGGTGTTTTTAATTGAATTATTCTCTTTAGATGACCAACAGACTATAGACACTATATTTGGGCCAACATGTCAAATCAGTTGAGCCAACTTACTGTATATTTTCAGGCTGTTGGGTGCAAATGAGAACTCATCAGTTATTGTCCCTGAATTTACACATCAAAATGTATTTTTACACATTAAAATATTAAACATGACCGTAGTACAACTTAGAATTTTCAACGATTTACAAGCATGACATAATTAAAACACACATTCAATTACATTTTTTTTTTTTTTATTTATTTTTTTTATTTTAATTTTAATTTTTTTTTTGTATTGGGGTTGGGGGGGGGGGGGGGGGGGGGGGGGGGGGAGGGGGTTGGGGTGCGGGGGTGGGGGGGTGGGGGGGGGGGGTGGGGGGGTGGGGGGGGTGGGGGGTGAGGGGGTTGGGGGTGGGGGGTAGGGGGGTGGAGGAAAAATTATTCAGATCCTTCACTACAGTAAAAGTACTAGTACCATACTGATGAAACAATCCACGACGAGTAAAAGTCTAGTATGTTATAATCAACAAGATGTGCTTAAGAGTACCAAAAGTAGAAGTACCTGTGCAGTAAAATGTACCCCGTCAGTGTTTTACTGTCTGATGTTTTGACAGTAGGGAGCCAGGCATTAGAAGAGTTTGAACCATTTTTTCTTCTTCTTCTGCTTGTTGGTGATCTGGCTCTGAAGATCTTTTTCGATGGCCTGAAGATCTTCGGTGGCCTGAAGGAGGGAAGACTTCTCCTGCTGCCAAAGAAGACGCTCAGTTTCTAACAGATCTTCTGTTTTTTTCCGGGCTGCTTTGATCCTGTTTATCTCCATTCTTTGCTCCTCCAACTGGTCTTGGGACGCCCGGTTTCTTTTGAACATCTGCGTAGCTTCCTCCTCCAATGTTTGAAGAGAAGCTATGTTCTTCAGCTCGGCATGATCGAGGTCCCTGCAGGTTTTTTCCAGGTGTGCATTGCGGGATGCCAGTTCCAGAAAATTGAGATGCTCAGCTTCTAACTGATGTTCAGTATTTTTCAGAACTGCCAAGATCTTGCTGGTCTCTGCTCTCTGTTCGTCCAGCTGGCCTTCATGGGCTGCCTGGAACTGGGCTGCCTGCAGCGTCTGCTTAGCCTCCCTCTCCATTCTTCCAAAATCAGCTGTGATCTTCACCTGTTCACAGGCTTTTTTATTCTGGTCTAGGAAGGAAGACTTCTCCTGTTGCCACAATAGATGTCTATTCCTCAGCTCATTCTCAGCCTTGATAAAGGCTGCCTTGAGCTTACTGTTG